CTCTTTCCCCATCCCTTGGCTTGCCCTCTCTTCCATCTAGCTGTTCTTGAGTCATATTGTCTTGTAATAAACTGGTAATCTAGTAAGTAAAATGTTTCTCCAAGCTCTGTGAGCCACTTAGGTAAATTAATCGAGCCCAAGGAGGGGGTGGTTGGAACCTCAGATCTATTGTCTCAGGTCAGTTAGAAGCATAGATGACAGCCTGGACTTCAGATTGGTATCTGAAATGAGGGTGGGGAGCAGGCAGTCTTGTAGGACTGAACCCTTAACTTGTGGGATCTGACTCTATCTCCAGGCAGATACTGTCAGAATTGAGTTGAATTATGTATGACACCCAGCTGGTGTCAGAGAATTGCTTGGATGTGTGGAGAAATCTGCCCACCCACAAAAACACACACTGGAATTGGTTCCAGAACCCTTTTAGAATCTCATAAAAGTCATTTATCCCTCCTCATGCCTAAGCCAAACAACATCATCATCTGTCCCTTTGGAGAAAAAAGTGAAGGCGAGCAGGAGGCAAAGTGTTGGTGGATTTCCCTCAGATTTTGGCCCACATAGCATAGCCAAAGTGGGGAGAGCCCCAAACCACCCAAAGTTAAAGGGCTTTTCTGGGCTTATTGTCACAAGAGCAGATTCTAAAAAGTTCCTTTGGGAATTTCAAACGTAGTGTGGTCTGCGAAACTGCCCCTTCTCAGCTAAGAGGAGACTGACCTGTGCAGATGGAAGTTTCCATAAGTCCAGCTGCCAGACTCTCAGGGTAGGATCTGAGCCTGTCTGTGGGATCCCCACATCTATATTTCAAGGCCACTGGCCCTCTGCCTTAGCAGATGGCTTTTACTTAGAGTTACAGATAATTTTCCTCTGGGCAATAGCTCAGCTCCTAACTTATGTTCAACAGTTTAGCTAATGTCCTTCTTTGCTTTATCTTGGACATTTTGTGGTTTCATCCATGCCTTCATTCAACAAATATTTATTGAGTTCCTACTATGTGTCAGTCTACTCTGTGCTGGAGCTATAATGGTGAGCAAGTAAGGCAATATCCCTGCTTTTGGGGTCTTTACTTTCTGGTGGCATAAACACATACACATATAACCACAGATAAACTGCTATATCAGCTCTCTGGGAGTTGGGGGGAGCACTGGTTTGTACTATTTACCAATAATGACCTCGTGTTCTGTGCCCAGGTCTTTTTTTTTTTTTTTTTTTTTTTGCGGTACACGGGCCTCTCACTGTTGTGGCCTCTCCCATTGCGGAGCACAGGCTCCGGACGCGCAGGCTCAGCGGCCATGGCTCATGGGTCCAGCCGCTCTGCGGCATGTGGGACCTTCCCGGACCAGGGCACGAACCCATGTCCCCTGCATCGGCAGGCGGACTCTCAACCACTACGCCACCAGGGAAGCCCCAGTGCCCAGGTCTTAATTTATAAAGGTGATGAGTGACAGCATGGAGAGGTCAATGTCATGGATCACATTTTCCCTAGAAATGAGAGGCATGGCTTGTCACCAACACAGGGTCACAGAATGAATGTCAGACTTTGGTCAGGAAGCAGAAGCAGGAGAGAAGGGAGAGCCTAGGTCAGAAGCTTTTACTGGGGTTTCCTCGGGAAGGGCAAGGCAGGGTAAACAGTTTAGGACTGGCTAGCTTGAATAATTTCAGTGGACTTTGGGCTATAGTGAAGCTCTCTAGTTTTTTCGTACCCAGCCCTTTAAAGCACAGGACTGATAGAGATCAGCTTCCACTGCTCTCAGCTGAGCCTTTTGCTATCTCTAACAACTGGCTGGCCCTGGGAGGGCAGTCTCTCTCCAGCCAGAGAAGTATTTTTATGATATCAAAACATCACAATATAGAGAAATTTTTTAAAACATGATTAATACACCGAGCTAGTATCAAGTTACCAGCTAGCTGACTGAAGAGCTGGAAGAGATGTGCACAGTCCTGTGTGACTGGTTCCAGCACAATTAAGTTAACTGTTTACTTTGTAACCTTTACACATGTTAATTCACTCCGTATGCCATTTTATAGCCCTCTAAAATCAGAGCTGAAGTCATTTCAAGTTGAGGGCTGTAGATGATTGAAGATTGCCCTCTAGATCTCTCTCCCCACGTGCAGATTGACACCCAGTGGTGCGTGGGCTTGGGAAGAGCCAGGCCAGAGCAGAAGAGAGATGGCACATGGGCCTCCACTGGAGTTCAGGATCAGTTAGAAATAAACCTCTATTGACTCTCTATCACATGCCTGACCATCCCTGGGGCTCTGCGGATACCACAATGAATGAATCACCACTGCTGCCTTCCAGGTCTCAGTCTGACGGGGAAGTGGATAATGACTGAGCAGTGTGGGAAAGTGGTATGCTACGCATGGGCACTAGCAAGAAATGTTTCCAGAGAGGGCAAGTCTGAAAAGATGAATGAGAGTAGCGAGGTGAAGAAGATAGGAAAGAGGCAGTATTATTGCAAAAACCAAAACCAAAAGCACCATGGTACATTCAAGGAGCTGCAAGTCATTCAGTCCAGCAGGGATGATGGGGGCATATGGTGGAGAGTGATGCCATGAGGCTAGAAACCAAGAAGGGCAAGACCAACAAAGTTCCTTTATTCTGCTGGTCCTACAGGGCAGCACTTCTCAAGCTTTACTGGGGATCTTGGTTAAATGCAGACTCTGCTTCAGCAGGTTTGGGGTGGGTGAGCTCAAGATTCTGCAGCTCTATCAGCTCCCAGTGATGCAACACCATTGGTTCATGGACTACGCTTTGAGGAGAGTGTAGGTAAGGGGGAGCACTGAAGGGTGTTAGGAATACTGTATCAGGCTTGCATTTAGAAAGATGGCTCTAGGGACTTCCCTGGTAATCCAGTGGTTAAAAATCCATCTTGCAATGAAGGGGACGCCGGTTCGATCCTTGGTTGGGGAACTAAGATCCCAGTTGCCGCGGGGCAACTAAGCCCACACCACAACTAGACAGAAGCCTGCGCACTGCAATGAAGTGCTCGCATGCTGCAACGAAAGATCCCACATACCACAACTAAGATCTGACACAGCCAAATAAATAAATAAATATTAAAAAATAAAAAAAGAAAGAAAGAAAGATGGAAAGATGGCTCTAGTTGCTGGGCAGGGAATGGGCTTCAGGCAGCCAGGGCTGCAAAAGGAAGAAGGTTAAGCCTGGCACATGGTGAGTTTGAGGTGTTCCATTTGGACCCTGCCTGTCCTCCCTTGTCTGACTCCCTTGTCCTCACCGCCTTCCTCACGTTTCTCCTCCCAGGATGCTGGAGCCCTCAGAAATGCTCTCCGGGACATCTTCTCATGTCTGGGATGCCAGTCTGAACAGATCACTCAGCTTTACAGATTCAGACAAATGCGTGCTTAATGTCACTTGGTTCTATTATACAACAGAGTCAGTTCATTTAGGGGAAGAATTTATTTCACTAGCTTTATAAATGGCTGTCCCCAGAGTACATATTCAAGACCTAAAGTGTTGTCATTTATGCTTTCTAATTAAACTTTACTGAATTTTATGGGGGAAACCTGTGCTATAATGAGATTCCCCAAAATCTTAGGATATATTGCTTTGGAATGTTCACAGTCACAGTGGTGGGGAAATATCGTAGGCTCAAAGGGGCCAGGGAGGCTGCTATGGGGCTTAAAGGAGAGCAAATTATCTGCTCCTGGGGACATTAGAAATGAGATTTAGGTAGAGTTCATTAGAAAGTAAGAGAATGGAGCACAGAGGGTGCTCCTGTAAGAAATAATATGTCCAAGGGCTTAAAGGTCTAGGAAGAGGTGACAAGTGTGAACACTACAGACAGCCTGTATAACTCTAAAATACACTGTGATTAGGGGAGAAATGAAACAGGATGATCACCAGAGACCAGAACACAACGAACCTTGTGTGCCAACCAAAAGGAGGGCAGCTAAGCTGCCAGATCACTAAACTCCACCCCACTGGCCAACCTGTTAGGAAACAAACATTTACTGAGCTGCTCTTGTGTGCTGGGCATCTGTGCCAGGCCTTGGGGATACAGTGACGGAGACCACAGTTAAGGAGCTTAGACCAGGTCAATATTGGAGACAGACTTAAACAATGAATATGATTAATTAATTTCACATGTGATGACTGTCACGCATGAGTAAAGGGGATTTGAGTATTGATGAGGGTTGATGTTTGTGCTGAGACCTGCAGAATTACGTGAGTGAGGCACATCAAAACCCATTCCTAGCTTTCTTACCCTGCTGGTGGGAGTGAAAAATGGTTCAACCACTTTGAAAAACTGTTTGGCAGTTTCTAATAGTTCAACATATGACCCAGCAGGCCCACTCCTAGTATACCTAGGAGAAATGAAGAGAAATGAAAACATATGTTCATAAAAAAGCTTGTGTATTTCAAAGGTCCATAGCAGCTCTCTTCAGAATAGCCCACACCTGGAGAAAACTTAAATGTCCATCAACGAGTGGATAATCACATAAAAACTAGGGCAAATGTTTGGAGGGAAAGATGTTCTTGTTTAGCAAAAGAATATACATCTAAGCTTTGAATATACATCATCTACTCATATGATGAGTAGCTTCGACTTCTAATTATAGAGATCTTTCAGGAAAGAGGTGCTTTATCAGCTCATCTTGAGTGAGTATTAAAGGTAATAAAGACACAGTTATTAGCTCCAGAGTCTTCTGTCTCATACAGCCCAAATTTGCAAGGCCCAAGTGCCTGGAGGTGGGGAGTGAGACGTGCTATAGACTGAATGATTGTGTCCCCCACAAAATTCATATGTCAAAATCCTAACTCCCCAATGTGATAGTATTAGGAAGTGGGGCCTTTGAGAGGTGATTAGGTCATAAGGGCTTCACCCTTATAAAAGAGACCCCTTAGAACTCCCTCCTACCCTCCGCCGTGTGAGGACACAGAGAGAAGACAGCTATCTAGGAACCAGGCATTGACTCTGACACCACCAGACACCAAATCTGCCAGTGCCTTTATCCTGGATTTCTCAGACTCCAGAACTCTGAGAAGTAAATTTCTGTTGTTTATAAACCACCCAGTCTGTGGTACTTTGTTTTAGCAGCCCAAACTGACTAAGACAAGAAGAAACAGAATTTCTGGGCTTGTGGGTGAGTGTTGGTCTGCTACGCAATTTCTATGCCAGCAAAGATTCTCTGTCTATGGTCTCAGAGTTCCTAGATTTGGGGTGCTTATCCTGAATGGCTTCCTACATGAGATCATCCATCTGTACTTGACCCTACCTCAGGCATGGAATTTTCCCCAGTTGCACTCCACACATTTGTGTCTATCACTTCAAAACTAGCAACACTGTGAATCCACAAAGATCTCCTGTATCCCATTGAAATGTCCTTAACACCTCTCTACAGATCAGACCGCACTTAGTTTGCTGACATTGCCTTCTTCTTCCATGTATTCCCAAGCTGAATATGGATTCCTCGGGGATAAGAACTGTAATTTCTGCTTCTTTTGTATCTCACACAACACCTAGAACAGAGCTGAGTGCATCAGCTGAATAAATGAATGAATGAATGAATGAATGAATCATGCTGTCTTGTCTGTGGAAGCCCAGTTTCCTCCTTCCTACCATTCCCACACCCACTTAGGAGATTCTATCATGTCTTAAAAGAACTCCATACATGTCTGTCAGTATCATAGCAACATATATAAGTGGCTCAAAATTATCTGGGATGAATTTCTTTGCCTTCCCACTCACACAAAAAGCCCAAGTACTCAAGAGTTTACCTGCACATGAAAAAGACAAAGTATAAGATTGTTGAAAAGAGATATGGCAGGTTTTTGAGAATATCCTTCAGATGTATCAGAAACAATCCAGGTTGTAAACCCTTCAGATTCTTCAAGGAAAGCAGAATGAAGTGATCTCTACAGTCTGTTTTGGATCTACTGTTCTTCATTTTTGAGGGTCCTTCATATCTATTCAAATCCCTTTGGAGGGCATTCTGCCTTGCACAGAAGAAGGTCATGGCACCTCAACAAAGTGCACAAGGTCCTCGTAACCCGGTCCTGCCTTGTTCTCTAAGCTCCCCTTCCATAACCCAAACACGTGCTTTACAATATAACTATATTGCCCAGCCCTCTGAAGCCCTCCCTTACCCTCTGTAGAATTCCTACTCACATCTCAGAACAGTCTCAGATAAGACCTCGAGGAGATCTGTCCTCAGATTCTGGGTAAGATAACTAATCTCCTTGTCGCTTTGTGATGTAATTATTTATTTACATGTGTATCTCTCATAGTGGCCTGTGAGTGTCTCCAAACCCAATCATAAGTTTTGATCACCTTGCGTTCCTCTACACAGCTGCTACCCCAATCTTGTCAGACTATCTGCAGGGACTAGAACCCTCGCAATGGGGTCCTCAATGCCTCTCTACCTGTCTGATTCCTGAATTCCACTGCCCTGAATCTCCTTCCACTAAGATCTATCTCTTTGTATTGAAAGCACCAGAACTTTGACATGCTCTAAAAAACATAACATGCCCATGTTCCTCTGCTGCTGTTCAAACCCACCTCCCAAGCCAGGCTCTCCCTGATGGAAGGGTCTCAGCCAGATACAGCTGCCTCTAGCCCAACACTTGGTTTGAGGATCCCCCTGCCTCCCAAGAACCACAATATGGCAACCTGTTAGGTCTTCCTAGAGCCATAGGAGGAAACAATGTTCCAGCATCAGCCAGCAGGGGGCAGTGCGGAAACACACAAACTAGGCCCTTCCCTGAGAGTTGTCTCTCTCTAAGATGGCTTGAGCCATTCCTCAGTTCCCATGTCCAGATGGATTCTTCTCTTACCAATTATTCCTATTAAATTAGAAAATCCTGATTCACTTCCTGGATTGTTCGGAAAGGCAGTAAACTCTGCCAGTCAGTTCTGGAACCAAATGAGGGCCAGAAATTACAGAACTTTTTCTCAGTGTTACCAGATCTGAGTCAGCAAGATCTTTTTTTTTTTGCCTGGCACATGCAAAAGTTTTTTTCCAGCTTGCTTGAGGTATAATTGATATATAAAATTGTAAGCTATTTAAAGGGTACATAGTGGTGACCTTTTTAAAAAATATAGTTATTTTTGGCTGCGCTGGGTCTTCATTGCTGCGTGCAGGCTTTCTCTAGCTGCGGTGAGCGGGGGCTATTCTTCGTTGTGGTGCATGGGCTTCTCATTGTGATGGCTACTCTTTGTTGTGGAGCGTGGGCTCTAGGCACGCAGGCTCAGTAGTTGTGGCTCACGGGCTTAGTTGCTCCACAGCATGTGGGATCCTCCCAGACCAGGGCTTGAACCAATGTCCCTGAATTGGCAGGCGGACTCAACCACTGCACCACCAGAGAAGTTCCCATAGTGGTGACTTGATATAAGAATTTATTGTGAAAGGATTCCCCCATCTAGTTAATTAACACAACCATCACCTCATGTATTTATCTCTTTTTTTTTTGGCGAGAACTTAAAATGTTCTACTCTCTTAGCAAATTTTAATTGTATAATACAGTGTTATCAACTATACCCACCATGTTTTATATTAGATCCTTAGACCTTATTCATAATATAGCTGAAAATTTGTGCACTTTTACCAACTTCTCCCTAGTTCCCCCACTCCTCAGCCCCAGAAACAAATGGGTTTCTAATCCTCTCTGATGCCTTGAGTTCTAGAAAGTAGTTCTTCGTATTCTATTAGAGCATTTGTACTTGTCTTTTAAATATGCTTTTAAATGTACCATAGATT